CTCTCTCTCTTTTCCATACACACACATATTAAAAACAAACAAGCAAAACCCAAAAATAAAACAAAAACAAACCGCTGTCTCATGCCGAATCGGCACGGCAACCTTGGTGGTTTGAGTAAGAGGGGCCCCATTGGCTTGTATATGAAAATGCTTTGTCACTGGGAGTGGACTGCTTGGAAGAATTTGGAGGATTAGAAGGTGTGTCCTTGTTGGAGGAAGAAGTGTGTCACTGGGGCTAGGCTTTGAGGTTTCAAAAGCTCACACCAGGCCCAGCTTCTCTCTGCCCCTCTCTCCTTGTGGATGGATTAGGATGTAGTTCTCAGCTACTGTGCCAAGTGGCATGCCCCTCTGATTCCCATCATGATGATAATGGACCACGCCTCTGAAACTACAGGTCAGTCTCAATTAAATGCTTTCTTTTATAATAGCTGCCTTGGCCATGGTGTCTTTTCATGGCAATAGGACAATGACTAACATACCAGCTATGCCTTCTGGCCCCTTTCTCCATGATAGAGTCTCTTTTTATAGAACAGTATATTAAAGTAACTGCTCCCTTTTGCCAGTTTCTTTTATTTGTTACAGACTGAGGGTCATGGTTCCCAAAACACTGAAGGTTACACAGGAATGTCACATCTCTGTGTAGTCAAGTTACCTTTTTTTGGCTGCTATCAAATATGGATGGAAGTAAGGTCTTGAGTGTGCTGAGTAAGAGCCCTGCCCTTGGGCCACGCCTCAGCCCCCAAGTAAAATTTCTGTGCCCAATGGGGCGTTTTCTGTAAGAACACCTAGATTCCCTCACCTTCTTTCAAGTCTGTACCTCTTAAGCCTCCTGGACACTCCTTCAGTCATAGGCCAGGCGGGGAGTCTTGGGGATCCCTTTGTGGTGTTCGATGGGACCAGGTTACCACAGAGAGGAAGGGGAAGACCAGACAGGCAGAGGTAGCTCTGGGCTCTAGGCCCCTAGGAGCTGCCGAGGGCTTTCCTCTGCTGCTGGCCGTGGTGAGGAGGAGGAAGGGAGACTGAAGCAGCGGAAGGTGAAGGGGCCCAAGTGAGAAGCGACATCTAGGCCCTATCTGGGGGACACTGGTCTGTGGAGAGGAAGAGAAAGGGTGGGATTAAGTTCTTCACTTGATTGCTTTCAAATCAGTCAGTGCCCTGGTAGAGTCTCACCTCCTCCCCCACCACAGATCCTCAGCATGTTCTCTCTTCCATGGAGCCTCAGGTTTCTCTGAGGACACCCTTCCTGACCTCCGCACATGCAAGGAGTCCCCTGCAGCCCCTGCTCCTGACAAATGGCTCCATTGCAGCCTTGCTCGTCCTCTGCTGCTGTCTGCTTAGGTGTGACCTGAGCCTGTCTTGTTCCACAGACATGGCTGTGTGCTTGTTGCTTGACTAAATGACATCCTGAGTGGTGGTGCAAAAGGGCTGGGTGCTGGGGTCAGGAGACCCTGAGATCTGGCTCACACCCAGGTCCTCTTCCTAGTTGTGCCCCTCTCCCCTACTCTGGATTGTCTCTGAGCCACACCCGTGGCATGGAGTCAGTAAGTGCCCTCATGACGGTGACTCAAGGTACCACATAAAGCCTGGCAGCGAAAGCATCCAACACAGGTCTGGCCAGAACAGCAACATCATGAAGGCCGTGCTTGTGCTGTTATTGCATCATGGGGTGGATGAGAACGAGAGGACCTCCTTAAACCGCTGAGGAGCAGCTGGAGGGCAGCGCTTACCAGCTATGTTGAAGATGGGGGCCTTGTGAAGGTGGAATTTCTCTACAAACACCAGGTATTTCCCCAGCCAGGTAGGGTCCTCAAGCATTCTTCTGGCTGGAATTAGACAGATGACAATGAGGGTGGAGGTCTCTGAGCTTTCAGTTCTCCTGGATTAAACAGGGAGGAAGCAGAGCCCCGGGGCAGGGTGCAGAGACCCCGACCATCAGCTGTCTGACACTGTCTCCTGAGTTTCAGGGCGTATACTGGGGTTGTTTGGGGAGCAGGACTACCTCCGCAGTTACCTCCCAGACCCAGCACCTCCCTCTCCCAGTGACCACAACAGCCCCTTCACTGTCTCTTCTCAAAGCATGTCGGGGGCAGCCAGTGAGACCAACAGGAGGAGCGCATGCAGAAGCCATGAGTTCTATGCCCAACATGGGAAAAGAGGGCAGGCACAGGTCTGATTCCAGCAGTCTAATGCATCTCTAATAAACAAATGAGGCCCATGGCCTTCACGAGGAGCCCAGAGAGCCCCAGCTTCCTGCCTGCACACCCGTGCTCCCTTCTCAGAGCTCAAGGCTCTTGGCTTCAGTGTCACCGGGACCCTGGTAGTGGCCCACCCCCCCTGCCTCCAGTCTTCAAGATGTATCAGCTGCCTGACAACCCCTCAGAAACTCCTCTTGTTCTTCCTCCCTGATGCTTCCTTTTGGGAATCCTGGAAGGACCCAACTACTG